AACGGATGATTATGCGTTAGGTATAATATAGGTCCCAATTCGTGGCGTCGTAGTACTTTTAGTAAATTTCCCTTTTTATATTTGTCCTTCTTATATATGTCTCCTTCCTTTACAACAAAGGAGTCACTCTGCGCCCTTATTCTTTTTGCTTGCTGTTGTGAGCAATTCGCGAGTAACCTTTGTTCTTTTAAGTATCTCTTTAATTGTCTATATTGTTCTTCGTCCATTATGCTTATTGGTTCTTTCTTTGTTGCACTTAAAAAAATTTTTTTTTTTTTTTTTTATTATTTCCCTTTTTTGCCAGGACACCGGAACCTGGGCTGGATTCTGTTCCTCAGATTTTTAAGGTTAGTACTTTCTTTACTGTTCTCGTGAGTGTTTATTGTGTATGCGTTGTTATCGTCACGCCTCGTACCGTTATCGTTGTCGTCATTTCGCGTCAAATACTGTGGGTTGGTAAGTGAGAATCATTGTTTGTGTTATCGTGCTGGTACGATGGATCTTTCCTTAACTTGAGTGGGTCGGATTCTCTCTTATTAGTATTATTTTCCCCCTTTCTCTCAGGTAAACGTGACAGAGCGTCGGCATTAGAATGTTTTCTCCCCGCACGATGCAATATTGTATAGTTGTACGGTTGGAGACAGAGGATCCATCGCGCTCTCCTTCCTTTTAACTTTGAGTTCTCTAGCCATCTCAACGCGGCATGGTCAGTCACCACAATAAACGGCTTCATGCCCAAATAGTGGTGGAAATACTCTATTCCCCAAATTACCGCCAAGCATTCTTGCTCTGTTGTCGCGTAATTTCTCTCGGCTTTCAATAAACTCCGACTGGCATATGCGATCACATACTCTCTTTTTGCCTCGTCAATCTGTGACAGCACTGCCCCCAATCCCGTTCCGGATGCGTCGGTGTGTAAATAAAACGTTCTTTTGAAATCTGGGTACCGCAGAATCGGGGCTGTCGTCAGGTACGTTTTTAATAACTCAAATGCTGTCTGTTGCTTATCTCCCCACTCGTATATTGTATTCTTCTCTAACAATTGATGTAGGGGCTTGGCAATCGTCGCGAATCCCCTAATAAACTTCCGGTAATAAGAGGCGAGGCCGATGAAACTTCGCAGCTGTCTCACGTTCCCCGGGGCCGGGAAATTCCTCACCTTCGTAACCTTGTCCTCATCTGGTTGAATGCCGTTTCTTCCTACTATATGCCCTAAAAATTCGACCTCTGGTAAGAAAAACTTGCATTTTTCTGCATTCAACTTCAATGAAGCTTGTCGCAGCTCTCTAAAAATGCAAGTCAAGTGGTTGATATGCTTCGGAAACGTCAGCGAGTATATGATAATGTCGTCCAAATATATGGCTACAAATTTTCCAATATAGTCGTATAGCACTTTATTCATCAGCCTTTGGAACGTCGCCGGGGCGTTACATAGCCCGAACGGCATCACTTGGAACTCATATGTTCCGAATTTAGTCACAAAAGCCGTCTTTTCGCGATCCCTTTTGTGAACTCAGACTTGCCAGTATCCGCTGGCTAGATCAAGATTCGAAAACCAAGTTTCCCCTCCTAGAGCCTCGATCAGATCGTCAATTCTCGGTAGCGGGTAAGCATCCTTCTTTGTTACCGCATTTAGCTTCCTGTAATCCACACAAAGACGCCGCTTACCGTTCTTCTTTGGTACTATTACAATCAGAGAAGTCCATGGGCTTCTAGATTCTACGACAAGTCCCTGCTTCTTCATCTTCATAAGTTCGTCCCTTATGTAGTCATGTTCGTCGGGTGCCATCCTATAAGGAGCTTGTTTTATAGGTTTCGCGTCGCTGGTATCGATTTCGTGCTGGATCACGTCGGTTTGAGTAAGTTCGTCCAGACTCTCCGCGAATAGTTCTTTTTCCATCTCAAAGAGTTTCGCTACTTCTCCCCGTTCTCCCTCCATTAAGTTTTCCAGATCCGTCTTTGGTCCTCCGGCAGCAGGCTCCTCTTCTTCTTCCGGCGTCGGTACTTCTTCCAGGACGGCTAGGTATATCGTGGGGCTAGGAGTTTCTGCTTCTTCGGTTCTCGACTCCGATGGGGGTGTCTCTTCCTGATCGGTCGTTTCTTCCGCTCCACTCTCCCAGTCCGTAGTTCTTCCTCCTGATCGTTCCCTGGTATAGTAACCTTCCTCCTCTTCTACATCCTCTCTTTCGTACTCAAACTCACCATACGTACCTCCACTCTCGTAGTCACTTGACTCCGGTTCGTCTGGTCGTGCCAACCCTTCGACCCCGTTATTTGAAATGGGTACTTCCAGCTCTTTCCCTTTGTATTTTAACAATATTCTTTGTTCGTCGAAATGGATTCGTGCCTTCGCCTTCTGGAACCAATCGGTCCCCAGCAGGAGTGTTTCGTCTCGCGATTCGATAACACATAGTTTGACGGGGATGGTTACTCCTTGGATCGTAATACCTACATCCTTTACCTTCCCTAGGGTCCTCTCCCTCGTACCATTTGCCGTCACGACGACCGATGTGGATTTCTCGTTTATCGTAAGTCGTAACTTATCCGCTAGTCTTTTTGTAATTATACTCACCGCTGCTCCCGTGTCTAGGACGGCTACTACCATCTTATCTCCCACTTGCACATAGCATTTAGCGGCGGTTGTCTTCAAATTGTCTGCTGCATTAACCTGGTCGGTTGTTTCCGGCGGCTTGGCTCTCTTCAGTATCTTTGAGAGGTTCCGCTTTTGGTCGGCGTACTTCAATAACTGCGCCACGGTGGCATTTGCTTTCATCGATAGGATGTCTTCCGAAATATCGTATGGTTCCAGGGCATCCACCACCGAAGGTAGCCTTTTTCGTCTCGTCGTTTTCTTTTTTGTGACTCCGATTGCCTCGGGGGATTCCACGATTACCATTGGTTGCTGCACCTTTATAAGTTTTGATGCTTTTGGGGGCTCGCCTGCACTTTCCTCGTCCTGTCTAGGCGGTCTTCCCCTTTTTCTTACGGCTTGTGAGGCGTCTCCCAACGCGTAAGCCTCTTCTTCTTCTTCGTCGTCTCTCTCGTCCTCCTCCTTTTCCTCATAAACATACTGTACCTTAGGGCTTGCAGAGCTTCGGAATTCTCTCGGCGTCTTCTGTTCTGGACACCTTCGGGCTATGTGCCCTTCCTTTCCGCAACTGTAGCAAACCACTTTTCCCCTCACTTCTCTCGATTCCTTTCGTGGCGCTCTCCTTGAGTCGGCATAGTTTAGTGTTAACTCTTTTAGTTGTCTTTCGAGCCTCCCAATTTCGTCTTCTAACTTCTTCGTCGTATTCTTGTCTCTCCTCGTAGTTTGCCGGCCGTAATAGTTTCCCGCCTCTGCTCTTCGTGCTGCTGCGATCGCTTCCGCCAAGTTCTTCGGTGAGGTCATATTAACGAACGTAGCCGTATTACCCTTTAGCCCATTCATGAACATCCTTACTACATAGTCGCTTGGAATCGTCTCCTCCGGATCCACTCTCGTAAGTAGGCGCTTAAATTGCACAGCATAATTGTCTACTTTTTCGTCGTCTCGCTGACTCAATTCGTTCAATTCTAGCTGCCATTTATGGCGTTTTTCTGACGTGGCGAAATGTCCAACCAACACGTGATGGAAACTCTGAGCCGTGTCTGTATCGTCTTTCCATTTCTTAATCTTATCCGCATTTCCCTTATACCAGTCGGCTGCTAACCCTCTCATGTATCCAG